ACACTGGGAACAGGCTCCAGCTGTTCCTCTGCCTCACTGATGTCTGACTCTGAAGGCAGCTGATAACTGGCACATGGCCTTGGCCCCCGCTCTGCCTCCAACACAGAACCCTCCTCATAGTCTTCCCCAGACTCCAGGACTGGCCCATGTTCCTCCCCAACCTCCTCCCTGTCTGAATCTGCTCCAACTCCACTGGCGGGCCACAACACTCTCACACATATCCAAACAATGAATTTTTCTATACTAACTAGGATGCTTCTAAAAAAAGCATCTCTAGAAAATGCTAACCAGGTTGTGCATGCCTGCCCAGAATCAAACACAATTAGCACTTTTCCGTTCAGACCTTCGTTGTTCAAGCCGAAATAGGGGATGAAAGAGGAGGCACACAAGGAATTTTCACATTTATAAATCTGAATGTCTGCATCTGATTCATGGGGATTTCTAAAGCCACACATCTGGGAATTCATTAATATTATATAGATCATTTTACTTTCGTCATACCATTCAATAACTCTGGGCAGCCTTCCAATATAAATGTTATGTCTAGACCATAGTTTTCCCCATTTTCTTTTTAGGAGCTCGCCAAAATTCACCTGTTTTTGTTTGGGGGATATATGAAATTTTCATTACGGATCAGTTCAAATCTTCATGTTAAGAGTAACTGCATTTTGCTTCACAAGACACCAGACTAATTTAGTAACAAAAACAAAAAAAAGTCCACTACCAAAGAAAGAGGGAAAAAAGATAATTTCGGGGATCTAACATTTGCAAAATAAAAAAATGAGGCTAGCAATATGTAATAGGAATAAATGTACTCTTATCCTTCACATCCTTCTCTTTTTTTTATTTACCAGACTTGGGCTGAAATATGTAAATAAATCTATTCAATAATAGCTGTATTTGGTTATTTAGAAGAAATCAGTCATCTTCCAATTGAAAGAGGACTTTCTAAGTTCATGTCGTTCACAAACTCCATGTAGTTTTAAGCCAACGTTTCGTGATTTTTATATCCTGCTTCCAGAATTGTACGAACAATTCCAAATACAGATTGGCTAGTTTTCAAGGTACTCATCAATTGTTAAGAGTAGCAGGCAGCAAGGTTTCTAAATGAAGGTGGGTTCAAGAAACGATTGGCACTGTCAGGCCACATACACATATAGTACTTGATATATATTTGTAGGCTGCTATGAGTAGAGTCTGTTAGGCCAGAAGGAAGGAACTGATAAATAACATGCACACTGCATCAAAACAATTGTTCTTCAGATGATGGAGAAGCAACGCCACCAATGCCACCAATACCATTTCCAGGAAGAATGACTGAAAGCACGAGAGAGTTAGCTTACTTTGTAAACAACAGAAATGCAACAGCTGACATTTTATGCGGATGGACATATCCTACCGGTATTATGTTTTGCAATAAAGTGGAAGAGGAAGAGGAAAAGAAGAGTTGGAAGGGACCTTGGAGGTCTTCTAGTCCAACCCCCTCCTTAGGCAGGAAGCCCATCACTTCAGACAAATTGTTATCCAATCTCTTCTTAAAAACTTCCAGTGTTGGAGCATTCACAACTTCTGGAGGCAAGTTGTTCCACTGATTAATTGTTCTAACTGTTAGCAAATTTCTCTTTAGTTCTAAGTTGCTTCTCTCCTTGATTGGTTTCCACCCATTGCTTCTTGTCCTGCCCTCAGGTGTTTTAGGGATTAGGTTGACTCCCTCTTCTTTGT